TGTGGAGTCCAGCACACTGACACAGCCCAGTCACAGGGCTCTGGACTCTTCTAGTCCCTGTGGAGTTCAGGACACTGACACAGCCCAGTCACAGGGCTCTAGTCTCTTCTAGTCCCTGTGGAGACCAGCACACTGACATGGCCCAGTCACAGACCTTTACCTTTTTCATGTTAGTTTTTTTACAAGCAGATCAAAAGATATATGAGTTATATATATGTCAATATATTTTCAAATAATCAAGCTTCATTCTATCATTTTTTTTGGTGGATGATTTTAATAAAGTGCAAAGAAGAGGTTAGAGGGAAGGAGACATAGTTAGACAAACAGGAAGAGAGAGGGAGAGATAGACCCACACCGCCACATGTGCCTGTCTGCTACAGTACATACCTGAGCTTTGTAAATGAACAAAGTGGTGATCGAGAAAAGCAATGCAATCCTCCCTCTAGTGACAGAATGAGCTGCAGGCAGTCCATTTTTAGAGCACAGTGCTGTGAAGAGAGAACCTCTGTTAAAGAAGAGCTTACTATGCGAAAACCCTTCACTGAGATGGATGCAAATGTTTGCGGTGTGACTACCCCTCATCACTTTATTGTAGTAGAAGTATGGGGAGATCCAACTCTGAGAATAGTAACACAGTAGGGGTTTGTGAATAATTTAGTAAAGCTCAGTCAAAATCAAACTCAGCTCAGGCCCTGGCATCGTTTTGCTATGCAAGCAAAATTCTAAAATTTTACAATTATTCAAGTCCCATCATAAAGAAATACTGAGCATCACACAGCACAGCATAATAGCAAAATAACAACAAGGCAGCAAAACTTAAAAAGTAAACAAAAAGATACTTACAATAACTCACACATTTACTGCAGCTCTGTAAGGATAATTATAAATCTGTATCCGTCTCCTGCCTCTTACAGACACAGAAGCAAAACCCACCCTGTAGCTAAGGCACAGATAAAGCAAAGAAAAGAGAGGACCTTGTTTCATCCAAGAAAAGATCCCCATCAGGACTAAATTACATTCTAAAACAGGCGCCAAACAAATGGAAATCTTTTCTCTTTTCCAGATAGAGTCCAAGCAGGGACATTTCTCTAGCCTGGTGGATACCATAAACTGGAAATCAGAAGTTCTACAAATCTAAAACCACACTCCTTTACTTAAGACCAAAATTCGGTCTCAGTAGTGCTCAGACTTCCTGTAAGTTCTGGATTCCTGCATTATGACAGAGAGAACTTTCTAGTAGCGCTAACTGCTTCTTCTCTTCTATCATCCCTCTGTGTCTTGCTTCTCAACTGCCTCATCCCACATGAAAGCTGACAATGATTAACTGGAGTTCGTTTAGCTCAAGTAAAGAATTAATTAGTTTGGTCATGTTTACTGCTTGAAGGTTATGATCAGACATGGCTGTTCACACGCATTGTTTACTGTACTTTGGTAATATGGCAAGATAGATCAGTACATCCACAGCAACATCACACTCTGCACAGTAACTCAGCCGTGTCGTAAGCACGGCCCTAACCATTTACAACAGTCACCTCAATTAAAGAAAGCGTCCAGAACCGCACAGAATGTGTAGCAGCGGAACTGCAGCAGCACCAGTGAACTCTGCTTCTGCAGACATCAGAGAATTTAAATAAGAGACAAGTGCAATAATGTTACGGGTTAAATCTCCATAAAAGTTTATTGAAACAAATAAATTAATAAGTTAATAAGTTAATCAAGTGAGGTACTATATTCAGTCATGACACTTTTTTCATGTTTCGGTTCAAAGCGATCCGCCTTCTTTTTGAAATCCGAGACACCGGCGGCGCAATCTCTGCGAGCCGCCAGCTGGAAGACTTCCATCGCTTTTACTGCCTTATTTACTCCGCCATTTTTATCACTGGATACAAGATGCCGGGGAACGGGGAGGGTGCGTGGAGGGTGGGGCAGACATGCCGGGCATGCAGGTGGTGTGGGGGGCATGCAGGCATGACGGGCAGCGTGCAGGGGCGCATGGGGACATGCGACGGTGCTCAGGGCCTGGCTCTGCTCGGCTCGAGAGCTGGAAGACCTGCGTGGAGGGAGAGTCGCAACAGGGGAGGAGGACTCCTGCTTCACAGCCGACAGGACCACTCCCGGTCCAACAGGACCCACCCTGGGGCTTCAGGTCTACTACCTTGCTGTGAAGGAATGTGGAAATTTAAAGCCAGCCCTCTGCTTCAACAGTGCAATCTGCACCAAAGCCCCGCTGCTGGTAAAACCAGGACTGGATCAGCCTGCTGCGGCCCGGGAGTCTGACTCCTCCACCCCTGCTCTGTGATGGAGGTTCACACACTCTTTGACTGGCCCACTGCAATCCCTCCTGTCCCATGCAGCGAGTCCAGCCTTTGGCCCGGGGACAGGGAAATGAACGTGAAACACTGGAACACTATTTTAAGGACCCACTGCGAATTATCTACAACACCCACCTAACTAGCAACTAACAGCAACCTCCGAGCATAGATCCTATTAATTAGGCATTAATTGTTAATCACTGAGTCATTAAAAAGATGTTTATACTAATTTCAGTGTTGTACATATTTATTAAATCCATACATTTCACATATCTAGGTATAAAAACAATATACAGTAATTACTAGAATTATTTTTCAAGTTCTATTGGACCTAAACTATATCCATAACCTTTTATTTCTCTCTATTCTATTGGCTCCAGATTGCATGCTGTATGGTGCAGATTAGTCATCAGGGCTCCAGGAGCGTCTTATAGTGGATCCTTAAAACGATTCGTCCTGAGACATTGCAGCAGGCAGGTGCTGAGCGACATGCTGGGGAATTCGGCCAGCCGGTGCCCAAAACCCAACCCAGAGTTAACAATGAGGCTCCTGAAGGCACAGCATGACATCTGTGGCATTCAACTTCAAAACTAAAGCAACAGCCTTAGGGCTGAGGACAAGATCAGGTCTCTTCCAGCCTGCAGTCTCCATCTCACAACCATGGGAGAGCAGAGCTGGGAGAGCTGGGAGCGCAGAGCAGGCGGGGTCATGAACTGTGCCCCACCACACAAAAATGATATAGCCATGAGCACAGAGCAGTCAAAAGTCGAACTGTGCCCCACCACACAAAAATGGTAGAGCCGTGAACACAGAGCAGTCAAAGGTCATGAATTGTGACCCACCATGCGAAAATGGTAGAGCCATGAGCACAGAGCAGTCAAAG